AGGCTGATGTGTAACCAGATGAGAGATGATGGAGGCTTGAGAAGTAAAATTATATGTTATATGCCTGTTGTAGTCATGATCAGCTAATGAAGAGGCCGTATAATAGTTACGAGGGAGGACTCAGCAGCCAGACTTCCTGTTCAAACCCAATTATGTCACTTGCTCACTCTATGACCTTTGGCAAGTTAGTCAACTAAGCTGTTTCCTCCTCTATCAAGTGTTAATATCCTCTTACAGAATTGTTATAAGCAATAAAAAAAAAAAACCCTAAAAATGTATGAAGTATCTGACAGAGTACATGCCTGACACATGGTAAGACTTCAACAAATGTCAGCTATGCTTATTTTTATCCGTTCTCGATATTGCACATTTTCTAATATATAATTTTACGCAGTAGATTTTTGGGTCCCCAAATGAGTGGAAAAACAAAAGAATTCAATAACTCAACAGGCAGAGACATTTTTTACAGTTCATAATAAAAGGAGTCACTAGTAATTACTCCATGTATATTACTACCACTTTAAATTTTATAAAGGACTGTAGTATTTTAGAAATTTATCCTGACAATTAAATTCTTTCACTTCTAGATAACCAAAGTTCAGGTCAAATACTGAAATCTAACATCTAAGATCCCAATTTACTGTGGAAAAAACTTAATAAAGACCAGAGACAAAAATTACTGGTTTTCAAAAGATACTCTAGGAATTAAGTTGTATAACATGAATGTAACAATCTAGGAAATTTAAATTGGAGGTCAAAATGTTTTTCTTTCTGGATTCTTATTTAAATTTATCCTTAGGGGTGACTCAGTCAGTTAAGCATCTGACTCTCGGTTTCTCGGTTGGATTCAGCTCAGATCATGATCCCCCCCCCAGCTCTGTGGGTTTGAGCCCCGCATCCAGCTCTGCACTGACAGTGGGGAGCCTGCTCAGGATTCTCTCTCTCCCTCTCTCTGCTCCTCCCCCACTCATGCTATCTCAGTCTCTCTCAAAATAAACTTCAAAAAAAATTTAATATTTTATTTATTTCTGAGAGAGAGAGCGTGAGCAGGGAAGGGTCAGAGAGAGAGGGAGACACAGAATCTGAAACAGGCTCCAGGCTCTGAGCTGACTGTCAGCACAGAGCCCGACGCGGGGCTCAAACCCACAAACCGTGAGATCATGACCTGAGCCGAAGTCGGACGCTTAACCGACTGAGCCACCCAGGAGCCCCCAAAATAAACTTAAAAACAATAATAAATGAATAAGTAAATTTAACTTTGAGGTGAATGATCTAATAGCATTATCAGTTGCTGTACGCTTTAGATAAAATTTACAAAGTGAATTCTAAAAACACTATGAGTCAGCTAAATTCTAATCCTGATTCTATTTCTGCCATTTTTAACCCTCCTTCACCTCTAAGACAGTGAAAAGAGCAACCTATTTTAAAAACCATTTTTCATTTAATGTATTATTGTAAGGATGAAATGTAAATGCAATACAACAACAAACAAGTAAAAAAGATCATTGCTAAAATTTTATAATAAATAAGACCAGAAAAATCATCATCACTTTATCTGATGCTCTTTATGGTAAAGATAAGGTAAAGGGTGAACTCTAAAAGCTGTTTATACTGTTGTTACAAACGGGCTAATAATCTTCAGAATGATTAGTTTCTTACATAGAATATTTATTGTTCTTATCTTTAAATTCTCTAAAAGTAAAGCATTCAGAGAAGACTAATATTAGTAAGATTGCAAATGATGTTTCCCCATATTTAATAAATGACCAACCGAGATAGGCAAAACCAGCAGAACCACACACAAGCCAGAAATCCGGAAGGCGTCTCTCACTTCCCACATCCAATTTCTTGGGAAATTCTGCTCCTTTTACCTCAACAGTTGCGTCTCAAACACAGCCACTACCCTCCTCTGTCCCAGCTGCCTGGCCTAATCCAAGCCACCTTCACCTATCATGAGGACCACGGCTATACCTTCCTCATTCTCCCGTGCCAAGCCACTCTCCACACAATTATCAAAATGATCACTGTGAAACGAAAATGGGAGAAGCCACCGCTCTGCTCAATGGCTTTCCACTGTCCTAAGGAAGAACATCTCTTGTGTGCTCTGTCACTGACCATCTCTCTTAACCTCTTTTCAAGTTACACCCCACCCTCACCCACTACCTTCCAGCCGCATGTGTCTCTCCCAGTTCCAACCAGCTCTTTCATCTTAGGGCTATCTGCCGCCTCTTCTGCCTGGACCACTCATTCCTGCCTCTTCAAATGGCTGCTTGCTCCAATTCCTTTGGCTTTCAGCTCCTCAAAGAGGCTTTCCTTGACCTCCCAAAGCACAGCAGGTAATCCTGTCCCTTTACCTAGTTCTTCATAGTCACTTACTTGTTTCATGTCTGCTTCCCCCACTCTGGACTATAACCTCCTTGAGGGCGAGTTCTCTGTTTCGTTCCCCTCCATTTTCTCGGAGCTTAGAACAGTGCCTGGCACACGGGAAATACTCAGTAGATACTCAGGAGAGAATGACAGTGCCGTTATTACTAAATGCTCACTTTGGGATACAAGACTGCTTTTTTGTTTTTTTAAATAAAATAAAGTAAGGAAATATGGCTATGGCAAAAGAGAAATAAGTGATAATGTGTGTTTTTTGTCCCAGTTTGACCACTGAATGTAACCACTCACAGAAGCAAGGCAGAAGTGAAGAAGGTGTTAATTATGAGGACCAATAAATCTTAACAGTATCTGAGTGCGGTGATTTAAAAATGATTTGCATGTAATATACTGCAGATACAAGTAATGTGAAAGGGCGCTACATCAATGTTTAGCTGCCTGCGTTATATATTAAACCCAAATGTCATTATTATTGCTCTCCTAAAGTCCAATGTGTGTAATTCTTCACTCTTTTTACATAAAGACAGGATCACACTCTTAAATAGTCTCCTATGATTATTCTTTAATTGTTCTCCAGAGGCTTTAGGCCTTTCTGATATAGAGTCTACTCTGGGACTGTCTACCACCCTTTCGGTATCTTTTTTAGGACAAAACAGGATAAATGAGAGTCCTAAATAAATGGACTCTGTTGATTAACTAAAGAAATGAGTGAAGGGGTGCCTGCGTGGCTCAGTCAGTTAAGCATCCAGCTCTTGATTCCAGCTCAGGTCATGATCTAACAGTCATGAGACTTAGCCCCACATTGGGCTCCACACTGACAACGCAGAGCCTGCTTGGGATTCTCTCCCTCTCTCCCTCTCTCTCTCACACACACACTCTTTCTGCCCCACCCCACCCACCCTCAAAAAAATAAACATTTTTTAAAAAAAGAAATAAAATCTTTCAGCACTAAATAAAGGCTTTCTTAGTACATATTCATTAGTATACATTTTCTTTATATCCATTTATTTAGCTAACCTTCTATATTATGGATTAACTTCAATTACCTTAAAAGCTTATAATAATCATATCTTCTATAACTCAGTTATATAGTTTTAGCAGATACATTTGATTCTTTGTATAAATACACTGTATATATGAGTGTATAGTGTTCTTTACGCAGTCCCATAAAATTAAGATTGTTCAGGAGTTATTACTTTACTTTATTGTGGACTCATTAACAAAAGCATTTTTTAAATAGTTTAGAGACCTCTTTGGGTCACTATTTTCTACCTTCATCTTTTATTCTTGTTTATGAAACTGTGGATTCTCCATATACTGTCCGTGAACCAGATTTAGCCTGCTCAACACAGAGTGTATTGGATGCTTGATATTTTTAGCTTTAAATCTAAATCACTTACCTACAATAATCTCTTAGTCAAGGGGACCTAACCACCCGTTCCCTTCTACGATAGTTTAGTTGGCACGTCAAGGTGTCATGCTAAGAAGCTTAAGTTAGTTACTGTCACTGAAATTGAATATGAAATTAAACTAGGATGGTGTAGATTTAATTCCACTGAAATTATGGCATGATTCTGGGAAAAATCGCTGTGGAAAAGTCTGATTCACTTTTGAATCACATGCAAAGCCAAAATAAGCATTTTCTCAATTCATCACTGTAACTAGGAAATAAAATTCATATTGCCTGCATAGAAATGTGGGCACCTTGTAAAAATGCTTTATCCCTGACCTAAAGCACAGCAACTAGTCTCATGTTATATATGCTAAGAATAAAATTCAAGAACACACTAATAATGGAGGTATTTTAAATACATATAAATTAATTTAAAAAATTACAAACAAGTTATAAGCAAACGGCAAGCCAAAGTGTACAAAAGTCACTATTAGCAAACACAGTTCCCATGGGTATATCACCTCCCTGACCCCATGAGTAGGTGAGCTTCCTGTGGACACAGGCTGTTGTCTGTTTTGTTCATCCAGTTCTTACAAATAAGAACAACACTTTGCACACAGTTACAGATAAATAACAAATGCTATGCACCAAATATTTAATATTCTATATTAATAATCAATAGATATCAGAGAAAAGAATGTTCTAATAGATCAAAGATTTTTGTTTAAAGCAAGAAAACTTAATTCTGAAGAAATTTAGGAAGCATTAAATAAGTATAAAACTAAAATTGTGATGGCCACAATTCAATGTTTATTTGGTGATTCTGCAGAAGTCACCAGGCAGTGATTAGGAATATTAAATTACATTTTCAGTGTTGTAGAAATACTATTAAAATAAATTTAAATCAACAGAATACCAAATAAGGGAGCTATGATTTCAGAAGACTAAGATATGTTTGAGCTCCTGAAAACCTAACTTTATTAAATAAAATGTCCCCACTGAGAAAATCACTAAGGAACATTTACAACTTAAGGACTGGATTTTTCCCATTTTCATCAATTTCCCTAAGTGTTTTCATCATACTTCAAAATGTATATATTAATGTGTCCTCTGCCCCACGATTAGGTACAAAAGATCAGCCATCCAAAGCTCTGAAATCTCCTGACAATGACAACCACGCTACTGGAAAAACGGTAAATTCGAATCTTATTTTGTACCAACTTACTCTAACTTTCGGCAAGACTCTCCGAAGCGTCTCAGCAGGATTCTGTCGCATCAAAAACGGAAGATTTGCAATCACACTTGTTCCTTGGATATCTTGACCAGCACTTACAAAGAAAACACAGATTTAAATTTTGTAATTACCAGCCAAATGCCTGGTTTACAACCATAAAAAGCAGGGACTAATCTGCTTTTCTTGATAAAGGCTCAGACATTTGACAAAGCTTTAAACTTTAAACACATCATCTAGTTACAAAAATAAAACCAGAACTGAAATTTCATTAAGCAAATCTTAGAACAAATGCATGAAGACACTAATCAGGCTTATGCAAAAAAACGATTCTCTCTCTACGTATGCGTCTTAAATCTAAAAGTCTTGAGGCAATTTTTAAATACTCACTTTAAAATTCTACCTCATTGTTTCCCTGTGATCTGCCAGTTTACTGTACTTTCTAAAAAAATAGAGAGATGTACATATTCATCATGGTTAAGGACTAACCATAACAGCATCAGGGATGGCAACAAAACAGACTACTGCAGATTCACACAACTTTCTTCTGGTACAGTGAAGTTACTGTTGCACTAGCCTGATGCCAGGAGTTGCGAGAAACTTCTGGTAGATATATTCAGCTTCCTTAAAGGTCAGTGAGATGTGTTTACATGGTACCTTTTAGATATAACATTCATCAGGTCACTAAGGCTTTACCGAAACAATCTCAGTGACACTCTACACACCTAACTAGGTTGTTAAAGGTGTTTGGATTCTTCCGAAAAACCATTTCCGTGCCGACAAGTCTTTGTTTTTAAAGCATTAGCTAAGCAGTGTGTGCGCATCCCTGAAATCAACATTGAAAAGATGCTGGTAAATGTGGCATCACCTCATATGGAAATTCCCCTTTCTCTTACCTGATGCCAACTTAAATGTTAATTGCTGACGCCATATTTATCTTAATTGACATTATTTTTACTTATCTCTTTAAAGAGAATTCTTTTGCTTATCTGTATATAAGACCATAACATGGTTTCTTAAAGGACTTCTTACGGTATTACATTTATTGGCTTCCAAGTTCAGGAAGTTCTGTTAATAAGAAGCATATTCTGATTCTACACGTGGCTGCCCCATTGTGAAGAACGGTTTCTCCCCTGTAGCAATATGGGAGTGAAACATAGGTCGGCACATTCCTCTCACTATCCTTGACACTCTCAAAGTGAATACTTTAAAAGACAAAAACAAAAAGGAAATGAGAAGCAGTGAAAATGGGGGACCGAGGCCAAGATGAGAGGATCAAAAAAGGGGAATTAAAGTTGCATATACTATAGGTGCCCCTTGAACAACATGGGGGGTAGGACTGCCCTCCCCCAGCACAGTCAAAATCTGCATCTAACTTTTGACTCCCCCAAACTTAACTACCATTTACTGGAAGCCTTACCAATAACATATAAGTCATTGATTAACACATAGTTTGTATACATATTATATACTGGAATCTTACAATAAAGTAAGCTAGAGAAAATAAAACATTCTTAACAAATTCATAAGGAAGAGAAAAACACATTCACAGTACTGTAAGGTATTTACTAGAAAAAAAATTGCATATAGGCGGGCCCATGCAGTTCAAACCCATATTGTTCAAAGAACAACTGTGCTTCCAGTGGGTTGAGTGGTGGCCTTCCATAAGACGTGTCTGCATCCGAATCCTGGAACCTGTGTTACCTTAATCTGAAAAAGGATCTTAAGACCAAAGGACCATCCTGGATGATCCAACTAGGCTATAACCCCAATAACAAGTGTCCTTAAGAGACACACTCAGAGAGGACAGAACAGGAGAAGGCATTCTGATCACAGAGTGGAGACAGGAACAATGCTGCCACAGGTCAGGGGACGCCAACATCCTCCCGCTCCCGGAAGCTGGAAGAGCTGAGCAACGGATTCCCCTTTAGAACTCCATGGACACTCTCATTTTGACCTGGTGATACTGATTTCAGACTTCTGGCCTCCAAACCCAGGAGAGAATAAATCTCTGTTGGGTTTTTTTGTTCTATTTTGTTTTCTAATTTTTTTAATGTTTTTTCTTTCAGATGCAAAAACTTTTAAGTTTATTTATTTATTTTAAGAGAGAAAGAGACAGCGCATGAGAGAAGGAAGGGCAGAGAGAGACAGAAAGAGAATCCCAAGCAGACTTCATGGTCAGCTTGAGCCTGAGTCAGGGCTTGATTTCATGAGTGGTCAGATCATGACCTGAGCCAACATCAAGAGTTGGACACTTACTATCAACAATAGCCAAATTATGGAAAGAACCCAAATGTCCATCAACTGATGAATGGATAAAGAAGTTGTGGTTCATATACACAATGGAATACTACTTGTCAATGAGAAAGAATGAAATCCTGCCATTTGCAACAATGTAGATAGAAATGGAGGGTATTACCCTAAGTGAAATAAGTCAGGCAGAGAAAGATAGATACCATACGTTTTCACTCATATGTGGAATTTGAGAAACTTAACAGGAGACCATGGGGGAAGGGAAGAGGGAAGAAATGGTTTCAAACAGAGAGGGAGGCAAACCATAAGAGACCTTAAATACAGAGAACAAACTGAGGGTTAATGGGGGGAGGGGGCAGAGAGGGGGAAATGGGTGATTGAGCACTGAGGAGGGCACTTGTTGGGATGAGCACTGGATGTTATATGTAAGCCATGAATCATAGGACTCTACTCCCAAAGCCAAGAGCACACTGTATATATACACTGCATATTAGCCAGTTTGACAATAAATTATATTAAAAAAAAAAAAAAGAGTTGGACACTTAACAGACTGAGCCACCAGGTGCCCCTCAGATTCAAAAATTCTTAACAAAATATCAGCCAACAAAATACAGTAACATGTAAAAGGAAAAATTATACACCATGATCAAATGGGTTTTACTCCAGGGATGCACAGCTGGTTCATTATTCATAATCAGTGCAACGCATCATATTAATGGGTTAAAGATGAACAATCTGCATGATCATATCAATGCAGAAGAAACATTTGACCAAATTCAACATATGAACACTGAAATTGCAAATACATTACCATTTGGAAAATGAAAAAAGGAGAGGTTTAACACAATTTATATCAAAAATCTGAACAAGATTTTTGGGAGACATAGGCAGTATTTTTCTAAAATGTATACAGAGAGGCAAAGTAATTAGAATTCTTGAAAAGACAAGAATTATGCAAATGGAGAACCAGATTAGTGGTTTCCGGGGTTAAAGATGGGTGTATGGTAGGAGGGAAATGAACATAACGATACAGTGATAGAAATCCTACCTATCTTGATCGTATCAATATCAATATCCCGATCGTGATATTGTGCTATAGTTTTTCAAGATGTTCCTATACCAGGTAAAGGGTATATGGGTATCTCTGTATTATTTCTTACTACAGTATGTGAATCTGCAATTATCTCAAAATAAAAAGTTTGATTTTCAAAAATCAACACGACATAATTCTTTAAACACATGAGCATCTCAAAAGATGTAGAAATCTGACAAATCTAGCATTTATTAGTGATTTAAAAGTATCAGCAAACCAAAAATTCCTACAAAAGGAAGAATGCCCTTCAGATAAAGGGCATCTACGAAAAATTTACAGCTTACATCATACTTAATGGAAAAAAGAATGAATGCTTTCTCTCTAATCAGGAACAAGACAAAGATGTTCACCATTACTTTCATTCAACATTGTGTTGGAGGTTTGTGTTGAATCGGGGCAATAAGCAATAAAAAGAAATTAAAGGCTTAGGGATTGTAGAGAAAAAAGCCAAACTGGCTTTATTCACAGACAACATGACTGTCTACAGCAAAAATTAAATTTATATAGAAATGCAAAGGATCTGGAATAATCAAAACAAATTTGAATACAAACAAGATTGTAGCAGAACTAATACTATCTTATTTTACAACTTATAAAGCGACAATAAGCAAGATAGTATGGCACTGGCATAAAGACAGTCATGTAGATCAATGAAAAAGAATAGAGTGTCCAGGAAATAGACCCAAATAGAAATAAGTAACTGATTTTTGACAAAGGTGTCAGGATAATTCAATGAGGCTACTGATTATCTTTTCAATAAATGGTGTTGGAACACTTGGAGAGCCGTATGTACAACATAATGAATCTCTCCCCGACCTGAAGCAATATATAAAAAATTAACTCAAAGTGGACTATAGGCTGGAATGTAAGAGCCAATACTATAAAACTTCTAGGAAAACTTAGAAAATCTAAGTGACCTTGTTTGACAAATACTTCCTAAATAGGATACAAAAGACATAAATTATAAAAGAAAAAAATAACGAAAAGAACTTCATCAAAATTGACAACATTTGCTTTTCAAAGGCACTGTTAGAGAAACAAAAAGGGAAGCCACAGGCTGGCTCAAAATATTTGCAAGATGTATCTCCAACACACAACTTGTATACAGAATATACAAGCACTCAAACTAAATAATAAGAACTTCCCAAAAAATTAAAAAAAGAACATCCAACAAAAAACGGACAAAATGTTTCAAAACTTCAGCAAAGAAAATATACAAATGGCAAACAAACACATCAAAAAGGTGCTCAACAGGGGCACCTGAGTGGCTAAGTCAGTTAAACATCCAACTTCGGCTCAGGTCATGATCTCATGGTTCATGGGTTCCAGCCCCATTCTGGGCTCTGTGCTGACAGCTCAGAGCCTGGAGCCTGCTTCAGATTGTGTCTCCCTCTCTCTCTGCCCCTCTCCTGCTCATATTCTCTCTCTTTCTCTCTCTCAAAAATAAATAAATATTTTTTTTAAAAAGATACCCAATAAAACTAATCACTAAGTAAAAGATACCACTGCACATCCACCTGAATGACTACGTTTATTTATAAAGACTAAACATCAAACATTGGCAAGGATAAGGAATACTCTCATCTACTACCGATGGAAATGGGAAACAGTACGACTACTTTGGAGAAGTTTGACAGTCTTTTAAAAGCTCACACATCTGCCTACCAAACAACCTTGATGTTCCACTCTTAGGTATTTACACTCAAGAGAAACAAAAGCATGTGTTCACAGAAACACCTGAACACAAATAC